ACTCTTCCTGACCCTTGCCCAGAGAGGCTTCAGGCTCTCTTTCTTCCTCTCTGGGCTTTAAACTCTTCCCTGGGCCTAAACCTCTGGCATGCCCTAAATCAGGGCCTCTGGCTGGGCTCTAAACACTGGCATGCCCCTGGCACCTCATTGTAGGTTAAACTACCAATACACTTTTCAAGTGCCCCACTATGGGTTAAACCCCCAGGTACCCCACTGTGGCCTCCACTCACTCCCGTTTCAAGCACTCCCAAACTACCCGTTGTAAACTGTAACACACAGAATGAGCGCACACTGGCTGTAACAAACTTAACTTGCTCTAGGCATAGCAAATGATACCAATAGCTCGCTGTCTGCAGCAAGGCTTCCCCTTACCTGGGACTGTGTTCCTCTGTAAGACACCAGCATACAGCTAGCAGTCCTTAGAGCAGCTCTAAAATCAGCCTGGCCTTGCCCTGCAGCCTTCCTGGCCTAGAGCTTTTCATCCAGCAACTTGCAGGGCTAGATTGCTTGCCTACTTCAGGGCCTGGCTTATATGCTTCAAGCCTGGCTCCCTTCTGGTCAGGTGGCTCCCTAACCACTTGCAGGGGTTCCTCATCAGGGCCTAAAGCCTGGGTGCCGTGGCAACTTAGAACTGCTGCCCTAGCAGCCTCCTGCTGCTGGAGTTACTTTGCCCATGGTATGTGTGCTGCCAGGTCTATGATAAGCAGTACTGTAGCAAGGCGGGGGAGGGGTGAATGGGGCGACTGCCCTGGGCACCGAAGCTAAGGGGCACCAACAGGCGCTGCCCAGCTGGGGGAGGGCACAGGATGGAGCCACAAATTGCTCAGTTCATGGGGTGCAAAGACAGGGGGAGGGCAGCTCCTGCCACTGTGTGCACTCCCAGGCAAGCATGGGAGGGCACGTGCCCCCCGGATCTGTGCAAAGTGAGAGGGTGGCTGCTACTGCAGACTTGCCCTAGCACCAAAATTCCTTGCTACAGTACTGATAGTAAGTTGTGGTAGCCACTGGTCTCCAGCTGTCTATTCCCTTGCCACCAGCCCAAGCTAGACAGAGATCTCCTGACAAACAAAAGATGTAACCCTTTACCTGGGTGGGCCTCTCTCTTGCCCAGGCAGCAGGGCTTTGCCATTGCCTGGTCTCTCTACCTGCAGTTTTTCTTCTTAAAATAAAAGGGGCCTCCAGCTCTACGTTACTTGCATCAAACAGTTTAGGTGCAACTAAGGACCTAACTGTTCATGCCTAATGTTATGAACCTAACTCCATACTTGAACAGCTGGGTAAACCAAGCAGTTTCTTTTCAGAGGTGCCAAATCTCAGGGCAGCTAGCATCTGGAACCAACTTCCAAGGGAAGTTGTGCTCGGTCCTATCCTGGGGGTCTTCAAAAGGAGGCTGGATGAACACCTGGCCAGGATCGTTTGACCCCAGTACTCTTTCCTGCCCATGGCAAGGGGTCGGACTTGATGATCTGCTTGGGTCCCTTCTGACCCTACCAACTATAAAACTATGAAACTATGAAATACATAGCTTCTGTTATTGCACTATTATTTGTACTTCAGCAGTACCCAAAAACTCCACTGTACTGGAAGATGCTGTACGTGCACATATGCATACATAGAAAGATTCTGTCCCTCCTCAGAAACTTTACAATACATCTCTATACAACAAAAACAGTGTTATTGCTATCAGCATACCCACACTCACTTTTATCAAGCAGCTCTGACAATGGTATTAGTGAATTTGTGAGGTGGACAGACGGACACTGGTGTGAGCTGTACAAGCTGGTTGGGAATCCTATATGTGTACTTGGGTTGTTAGCCTGAAGTACGCATACAGGATTCCCAACCAGAAGGCTGAAGTCCATGCCACCATGTCTGCACTACTATTGTTACCTCTATTAGTCAGATTAAACTGAATGTGGGTATTCTTGTAGAGACATACTTTAACGTATTCCACATGAGATTTGAGCTAGAGCTGCAAGAGGTAACCTCCAAAATAATATTTAATATATCCTCTTCTCCACATTTCACAATTCTCCCTCGAGAGAGAGAGGAGGGAGACCTCTCACAACAGGTAAGATGACAGTCACATAATAAGGCATTCATGGAAGATGCTTAGTTTCTACAGTGATGCGATCAGTATAACAACCTACAGAAAACAGAATAGACAATAGGATATTGACAGCCCTGGTATGCATCACTGATGCTCTATTGTGTGGAGCACACCAAAAATTCTAATTATTTTTCTTAGATCCCCATCTCCATTAGAATTCAGACATTAATTTAGGGGTTAAAAATAGATCCAGATGGCCAAGACACCTTTCCATCTACAGTATTGGAAACAGTATTTTAATTATTGTTAAACTGTTTAGCGCACTGGATGGGCTCTTATAATTGTTTAATAGCAGCATAACAATAAACCACTAAATGTCTGATGCCAACATATAACATGGTTATTACTCATTTATTAACTGGCACATAGGTCTTTTCTAGAAGCAGCTCCTAGCTCAGAACCAGATAGGTCACTTCAGCAAGAACATGTCTGCAAAGATCTCACAGAGACTACTTCCTGGTCAACCCATTACATTCTGGGGTCTCTCATTTACCACCCTACCCAGCTAACAAGCTATGTGGCTGAGCCAGTGAAGATGAAATAAATGTTTCTTAAACTTGCAACTATAGGTAGAAGGTAATTTAGGGGGAGGGGAAGCAGGGGGAGTGGAAGGGAGCATCCTAGACAATGGGGCTTCTCTTCTCATGCAAACTAAGTTACATATCTGGTTATGTGTTGCAGGTTTGGAGCCTAGCTCCTCCTGAAGCAACCTAAAGCAGTTCTCTGAAGAGCAGTTGCTTGGATTAAAACAGGACGAGTTACATAAAGTTTTTGGGTGACATCTTAGTTGCTTTGGTTTTCAAAGTCTCCCTAGACTCTGTAGCAGTATCCCTGCTACAATTTCAATATGCAGAGTTCAATCAACCTCTGTCTGTTCAAAAGATTCTTTGTTTTTCTGAAGATATGGCAGGGTGGCACCTTTGGGTGCCTATACACGTGCAGGGAGGCTGCTCTTATGCACTGTAATTACAGTAGAGCAGACTCAGTACATTGCTAATTAGCATGCTCCGGCCAGTCTCCATGTCTCATGAATCAGCATCCCCATGTTTCAAAATGGCAGCAGGGACATTTTAACTAAGGCTCATTCGATAAGCTTTTGTTAAAGCGCCCCCACCGCCATTTTGAAGTGTGGGAATGCTGATGCGCAAGACACTGCAGGTGCTTTAATTAGAGTGGCTCTCAGAGTTGCTCTAATTAAAGTGTCCCCTCCTATCCCCAGAACATGTGTAAAAACACCCTCTGAGATGAACTTTTTCTGGTAGCGTTAGAGCAATGCTAGTTCTTTCTGTATTTTTTGTCTGCTTTCCCCTGAGCAAATACAGAATCTGATAAAGAAGGTGTCTTAATGTAAGTGGGGCCAATAAAAGGTCACATAAAACAAATGCATATGACTGGGGGAAGGGAAGGGGAGATGGAAAGGAAGGGAGAGGAAGGAGGGAAGGAGTTGTATCAAATGCATCCACAGCCATACAAACAGAGTGAAAAAAGAAAGTTGATACATGAGCCTTTACAGATGTGTGTGGCATAGATAAGGGGCCTGTCTGATCTAGATGTTCATGAGCACACGAGCAGTTCATTCCAAGAGCCCATAGTATATTTCCAGTAAACCAAATTCAGACATCTCATTTGGGGTCATTTAATATGTTTTAAAAGTCTCTCCACAGTTTACACTCTCTCTCAAATGCACTGATTTTTTACAATAGTAAAAAATAATTGTATCCATTAGAATGCAATTGGAATGTTTTTGACACAAAAATACTAAAAATATAATAAAGCAGACAAAAATAGTCTGTTCTACATATGCTAAATAAAACAAACATGCTATGCACTGAATCCCATAGAGCAGGGGTGTCAAACATATGGCCTCCAGGCTATATCTGGCCCATGGAACTGTTCCATCTGACCCACTGGTAGTCCAGTAAACCACCAAAAATCAGAAGACATGGCCAGTGAAGCATGGCCTGCTGAAGAATTCAGGGTCCCAGTATCAATGGCAGGAGGGCAAGTGAGGACTGTGTAGACACAGCTCTCATTTGCCCACTGCTGGCCAAATTGCCTCTGGTTTCCCTTCACCAATGCTGCCACCCAATTTCCCCACCTCTGCTGCTACCCACTCCCAGACCCCAGCTGCCTGGCCCATGCTGCCACTCGCCCTTGGATCCTCACCACTCACCCCACACCATGACCCACCACAGTCGCTGCTGACTGCACAGATCCAACCCAGAAAGAGCCTTCACAGTCCAGTCCAGCCTGGGGTCTGGGGTGAGTTTGACACCCCTGCCGTGCAGCACATACTTTGTATAGTATAATAGCTTATATGTCCCCTTCCTCCTCCACTTACTTATCTAACAGTAAATATTAGCAAAGAAAACAGCTACTTTAACAAAATGCACAATTCAAGTAAATGTGTGATGCAATATGAATCAACTTCAGGAGTTCAACGGTTCCAAAGAAGCCAAGAGTAGGGGTCAGTAAGCACACAACAGTGTACAAGACGACAATTCCAACCTAGTTTAGGTTCTGCAGCCACCTCAGCATGAGTTCCATTTCAGAAACCGCATTATTTTGACATCTTTTCAAGCTTTTTGCTATTAAAAGAAAATGAGAAAACACACAAATAAGCATTGGGGAACTTCCTCGGCCATAACAAAGTTTTCAGTTTTATGCACATGGTAGTGTTTCTGCCATCAGTACATGAGAGACTCTCTCACAAACACTCATATGCAGTGCCGTAGCAAGTGGGGCGAGCCAGGCAACTGCACCAGGCACTGAACCAAAGGGGTGCCAGCAGGCACTGCCCAGCCAGAGCGAGGCATGGGACAGAGCTGTGAGTGGCTCATTTGGGGGGTGGGGGGAGGGAGGCGCAGGGATGGGAGGAGGGTGGCTTCCACCACTGTGTGCACTCCCAAGCAAGCATGGGGGGGGTGCCCCCCAGATCTGTGCGCAGGACGAGGGTGGGCTGTCACTGTGGGCTTTGCCCCAGGTGCCAAACTTCCTTGCCACAGCACTGTTTGTATGCATGTAAAATATCTATCCTTATCCTTATCTCCATGAGGATTCCAAAAATATGCAGCCATGTCTAACAGGAAAAGGAAGGAAAGTGACACTGATACATTCAAAATGAGAATTGTTGGAGTCTTGAGTGTCTTCACCCCTTCCAAGAACCTCTCTAATATCATCAGTAGATATTTAGCGCATTCAATGTTAACCAGGCTACTATATTTTAAACCATTTTTACCTCAGCCAAAAAAGATGCCTCTTCACCCAGTGTGCATGTGGATCTGCACAAGCCTTCTTCCCACTCCGTGTGTGAAAACTGAAAAGAAAGACATGATAAACAACTACTGTCACTTACTTCTAGGAAACTGTACACAGCAACAGTCAGTGGAATAAAAAGATATCCCAATGTTGTTCCATCAGTAGCAGGTATTTTAGAGGTGCTCAGTAAAGTCCTCTTTTTTACTGTTCTTAATATTACAGATACAAGGAAATACTCAACTATATTACAAGGTAACATCATTTAGAACTGATAATACATATAATCTTTAATAGTGTTTAAAAAGTCTGAACTCATTGACACCAGACAAGGAGGAAAAGAACTTGGCTGGATGCAATAAATATTAGATATTTATGAGACTAATGGGAATAGTCACAGTCAAGCTAGGTAGGATAAAAAAAAAAGGGGGGTTTGCAGTCCTCATGTTTCAGGACACAATGCCACCACTAGTTACCTGGAGTTGGGAAGAAATGTTGCCCTTAATAAAGGTATTACTTGTGTGCCCATTAACAGACATTATATGTGCATTAACAGAAGCATTAAATGTTCTTTAGATGGACTACTGCTGGAAACTAAATGAGTACTAAAGTAAACAGACCAGTAGGCTGATACTGTATCACATGTCTTGTGTTCTTGAGAAGTCAGGTATGTATTAAAATATATCTTTTAAGAAGGTGAGCTTTATGATCCCTTCCTAGCAGGCAGTTTCATTAGGTACTGCTTGAATATTCAGTATGTTTTATTTGGCTAATCAATGAATAAAGATTTTTTCTGCTGTTCAAACAAAATTTGAATTTGTCCAGCAAAAGTCCAAAGGTTAATTCCTGCCTAACAATGTATAGCATGACTGAATTTCTTCCAACAGTAAACTTACATGATTGCATTGATGTCGCATACTTCATTTGACAGCTGTTCTGAGTAACCTCTTATAGCTCGTCGAGGCAGTGGTACTTTAGTGTATGAGAGACAACAGTCTTGGTTGTTTTGTGCTGGAATAGAAGAAGAAAAGACAACACTTAGGAATGAGGGAAATAAAATTATACTTTCGTCTTATAAAACTATATTTTCATCCTGCCTAGGGTTCTCATTGGACAAGTTCCTGGACAGTGAATTCCACTTGTAAAAAACAAAGGGGTGGCAAGAAAGGGCAAGAACAATATAGGAGCTAACTCCCTGAGAGACTTTCTTTCAGTCCTCTATGTACCCCCACCTCAGTCACATACACATTCTGGTGATGGATGTGTCTCAGAGCAATATTCAGAACTACTTCCCTTAAGAAATGAAAGTCAAGTTCACTCACCTTCAGAAATACCACACAAGTACAGCAACAACAACCCCATCAAAGAAGCCAGGACCAAGCTCTTGCTGGTAAAACCAGTCATTCTCAATTCAGTAAGCAGTTTTTTATGGTAGTTTTTACTAGAAGTGTAGCAGTTGACTGGTAGCTCTGTTCTGATGGCTTTGGCTTTCAACACAACCTGCTTATAAAAGCCTGTAGGAGACCTCTGGAAATTCACACAAGGGTGTGTTCCATTATTATCATGGGATTTCCCCCCAGCAAGTTCCATTGTGCCAACCAAGTTTACTTGCCTCCTGGCTGTCATGGAAAAAATTTCCCCAATTGCTGCTTAAATAGGTTGAAGACAATATTTAGTAATAAGAAAAAAAGAAAAGGAAATACAAATTCTGTGAGGTCATGGTTCTGTGGGCAAAACGTATAAGCCGGGTGGAACTGTGGTTGTGAGAAGGTTCAAAGTGCATCGATAGGAACTGTGCGTGCATTTGATATGTTCTAATTTAATGAACTCCACTTGCAGAGAGAGAGAGAAACAGGACCTGCTTTCATCAGGGTCATTTCAGACCTACAGTACAACATTATCAGACACTATTTAGTCCCTACTCCCCCACCGTCTTGCATTGTTAGCAAGGTACAAGTATGTTATAGTGACATCCAGGCTGAACAATGCTGGCTGACCAGCACAGAGGTGTCATTCACTCCAGATTACTACTTTCTGGTGCAGTACTCCTTACCATGATGCCACATCATAGGAGCTCTACAATGTTGGAAGGAATTGAGCTGACTGGGCCCAGCCCTGCATTTTGACTTAGTCCCTGGTTTCCTGCATGTATTACTTAAACAAATGACACAGTGGGTATATCTACATGTGCCCTTTAATGCACAGTAGCCTATTTTACTATGCATTAAAACTTCTTGTAACAAAAGTGCAATTATGCTAACTGCACAGTAAAATAGACTACTGAGAATTAAACGTCACTGAAAAACCATGCACATTCATAACTGCACATTAAGGCAGCCTAAAACGCATTTCTTTAGTAGCTCACACTAAGAGTACTAAATATAATGTGCATTAGAAAAAGTGCCTTAATGCGTGTGTAGATGCACCCAATAAGTAAAATTAGAGAGCCTTTAATCATCGTCTGCCACAAATCAGACCAACCAGCAGAAAGAAAGTATTCCAGGGTTACACATCTGAAGCATGAAGTACAGTTACATCTGTTATACGTTAGGTATATATGTGAATAACTGGTTTCTATAACCAATCAAATTTTAATGGTTACCAGTCACTGCACAGATACTCATGTAAATATGCCCTATTTCACTACTTTAGTATATATACACCAATTACTTGTCTTCTTATTGTTGAACCTCCCTGTGCCATTTGATGATTGCAAGGGTGTTGAAACTCCTTACTCATTATATTTTTGGTAGCCTAGCCAAGTCTGGTACTGTCTTCCAAGAAGGGAGCAGTAAAGCAGGGAGGGGCAAGGAACTTGATAAGAAGCAGAGCCCTCATTAAACTAAGAGGAAGGGAGGATTAAGGGAAAAGAAAGCCTTGTTGAGCCAAGGTTTTACTAAAGCCAGTTGTGTAACTAGGGCTTCCGGGGCAGTGTTGTATGGCAGCAACCAGAAGCCACATTCTGTGTGACAGGTGCCCCAAGTGCCTTGCCACATCATTACTTCTCTGGCTAAAGGTTTAGCAAAATAGTGTCTTGCAAATCAGTGCTCCTAGTCTATCCAACATAAGGCAGTTCAAATGCAGTATTACTAGAAATTAGTCTATTCTGAGTTGTATTTTGCCTTGTATCATTGTCTTCACTTTCCACCTGTTTTGTCCAAATCTGAAATGTTCTACATGCATCTGATTTGCTTTGAAAAGAACGCAAGATGAGGGCTATATCTTCATTTATGTCTGTACAGAACAGAGTACATCACTGGTATTCAACAAATAATAATTGGATCACACTGCTACTCCTGAATATGTAATTAAGAAAAAGAAATTTACAAAGGGACTCTTTTCCATACCAACTTTTTATACAATTCACTCACTTCTTATTTTTATATTTTCATGGATTGTACAAAACGAGTCCAGGGGAGTTGTTGCTGCAAGCTGTTACTTTCCAATGTCATTTTGCAACCAATGTGAACCACTCCTCCTTAGAGTTTTAGAGATGTCCCTACAGTCATCAAAAGGGCATGCAGGAAATGTGAGAACATGCTTATAGTTATCCTATGCCCTGATGATCTGGAGTTACTCTGAGTGCTTTATGCTCCCAGTAAGATGCAACAAAATGCATAATATTGTCACTTCTGCTGAAAACTGCTGTCAACAAATTCTAATCAACACAGTGATATATTCAACTAGAATTAGCAGTTTTTTAGAATTACAGCTTGAGAACTGTGCTTGACATGGTATTTAGGCAGCACTGAATTTTTTAGACAGATTGAATGGTTTGAACCCCCATTTGGTTGAATGGTTTGAGGACCCCATTTGTGAACTACCAAACAGCTTTCTGGTCAGGGTTCATATTAGTGCCAGGCATGAACAAACAGCAGACACCTGTAGTTAAGTTAAATTTGCAGAATTCTGTGACACTCAGCGGTTTTAAATGGAAGCCGCAAGGGGCCAGGCTTTCAATAACATCCTGCTTTTTTTTTAAATTGGAGTTCAAATTGTCTGATCCAGTCTCTCTAGAGCCAGCTAATCAAAGGAAACACAAATTTATTTGGAATATTTCATGCAGCACAAACACTTAGAAGACTACCATTCTGCTAAACACCTGTCCTTTGATTATTAAAGAGAAACAAATGCACAAAATTTGGACAGTCCAGACTGACTGAGCAAAATCATACATACACATAAAAAATTGGTTGCCAGCCATATGCAAGCAAGGTGTGAAATCTTATTTCAGCCACTAATCCAAAAATGGCATCCTAAATGCAATGGTTTATTCTACAGGAGTTGTCACCCAAACACCATAGAATGGCAGATTCCAAAGGATAGATTCCTTTTGGGAATAAAACACTGAGCTCCAAAAAGTTACTATTAAAACACATAAGGGCCTCCCCAGTTTCTGTAGGAATATAACGTTTGCCCCAGTGTTCTTGGCCAAAATTTTCCACTCATGGCCAGCTCTGGGTTCCAGTTGTGTTCTGTGTATATAAGCTAATTTCCAAACATACCAAAAGATCAACTTAATCATTTTAAGGTACTGTCTCACACATTACCCTACATCAGATTAAATGAAATAACCTATTTCTCCTTCTCCATTAGTTCCTCAATTCAGTTATTGCTGTGTTCAAGAAGAGCACTACTATTAGTGTTTGAAAATTAAGCGCTGACTTAACACTTCTCATGCTTTTTTCCATTTAATTGTGGATGGCATTGTAGCAAAGCAAAGTCTTTGAATGTCCTCAGCACCTCTAAGACAAGAACTTTATCTTCTTACTTTCACTACATCAATATTAATATAAGCATGAACAACCTTCAGTCACATATCAGATTTAGGTTATTTCCTGGTAACATTCTTTTTTCTGATGGTGACAGTTTATATTGACATAATATAAGATTGGTCCTCAGCCTCACGCTCAGAATGAATGTCCCTTTGAATGTTCTCACTTGTATGTGAGTTGTCTTAAGGGATTTCTTTGCCAAATGCCTAGGGCATTGGAAAGCACACAAGATGAAGCTATAAGCTGAAGTAAATATCACACAGTGCTGTTGTGGGTAGGATCTGGAATTACTGGGCCTGTCAGTTTACAATACCAGGCAAACAATAAAACAATATAAAAAGAGGAAGGAGTGTTTGAACTGTGGAATAAGACCTGTTACAAAAATATCTCTTCTTCCCTCCCCTCCCAGGTCTTGATTAAACCCAGAATTTTCCCTTTGTGTTCTGGCCATAGTTCACTTACAAGTTTCCCTCATTTCAGGTCCTCTCACCTCTTCTCCTTTTGTCTCTGTTTTCTTGCATAAATAAGAAAATACCCTTTCATGGGGAAAGGAGTACCTTTTATATTATTATTTTCTTAATGTTTACCTTAGGCTGTATCTCTCCCAACTATACGTTTTGTCCAACAAAAATATTACTAATCAAAGCTTGTTTGAGAATAGTAGTCAGTATTCGAGTTCTATAGAGATGCTAACAGAGAAGCATTCTGCAGACTGGGAGAGGAATTACACTGGGACCCATCAGAATCCTCAGAACAAATCAGAATCCTCCCCAATGAGGAAAACATTCTCTGTTTCCCAAAGCATCATTTCTATCTGATGCACCTCCTCTCTTTAGCCACAGACATGAGTTCAGTTTTTACAAGAGAAAAAATGATACGGTGGAAGAAAGCCCAACATCCCAAATTTCTAATTTTAAATTATATAACTCAGTCCCACTCATTCTTTTTGGCATAAGATTGGATTTTATACCATCCCTGAGATGGAACTAAGTTACATTTTTTACACTGCACTTTCCAAAACAATGGATAATGTTATGGATAACATTTTTCATGTATAAAGGTTTACTCACATTCCTACATCTATCACCCTTTTTGCAGTTAGGGTTTTGTAAAAAAAAAATAAATTTATGCCTATTTAAAATCCTACATGTGAAAACATGGGCATACAAAAACCTAGATGCTTGGGACTTCATTTGTTCTATTCTTTGTGACTAGAATGGTTTGAAATCCCTCTAAAAACATGGACCAAAGGGGCAGTATTCATAACTACTGGGCTTTGACAAAACCTCCAGAAAAAGCCATACAGATCTGTGACTTCAACTGTTGGAAGAGAGACAAATGAGAGTATTAATGACATTTATAGGCATGTTTGATATCATGTAGGCTGTTCTCCATTGATCTTAATGCACTATGACCTTTGAGAGTTAATCAGTGACCTGCCTGGCTCACACAGGCATGTAATGATCTGACCTACAGTAAAACACCTATATTTTTACCAAAATAAGAGTAAAGAATATATTGATAAACACGTCTGAAGGAAGTTTCCCTGACTTCCTGAAGGTCTGTAAGTTTTTACAACTCTGCAGTACACTGGTGTCTGTTGAAAAATACCATCCCACCCCAAGAATGCTATAAATAAAGCTGTTGTGCAAGAAAAATGATAGACCAGGAAAAGGGGAAGTAGAAGGGAGAAGTTTCATGCGTAATTTCCAAATGGGCCCA